TGATATGTTCTTCCATGTGGGCTTTGCTGCTTCTGAGCTAGATGGCCGCTTGTTTACCTTCAAGCTTTTAAGACTGGAACTTTTTATGGGAGTAGAAAGCCTCAGCTTTCTCCCTCAAAGCAGCTGGTGTTTTCGAACTGCTGACCTTGCAGCTAACAGCACAACGTGTAACCCATTATACCACCAGGGCTCCTCTTAGAAAGGTCCAGGAGTAGGGAAAACCGAAAAAAGGAAGACAGATCAACTCTACACAGAGAAACACCAGAGCTGGGAATTGCAGAAACTCAGAATTTAGCATCACAGCATGGCAATACTTAAAAGTCACCGAACTGAGACTTACAGACTCTGAATCATTGAAAAACCAAAACCACAACAGGCGTTTTCTCCCTGCTAATGATACACCAGGCGCCCTGGTGGAGTGGTGGTTTCAAGTTGGGCTGCTAACCACAAAGCCAGCAGTTTGAAACCAGCAGCTGCTCCCTGAGACAGAGGCGAGGCTTCTGACTCCAGTAAGGAGTCGCAGTCTCCGAAACCCACAGGGGCAGTTCTGCCCTGCCCTGTAGGGCCGCTATGCATTGCATCGACTCAATGTCAGTGAGTTATGATAACCATGTACCCAACTTGGTGGTGTGCTCTGGTTACTATGCAAAAAAGGGGGGTGGGAATGCACATCATCGCATTGACTCCAACTCATAGTAAAGGGTTTCTACGACTGCCGATCTTGCCGGGGCAGACAGCTTCCCCGTTCTCCCTTGTAGAGGCTGGTGAGTTTGGACTAACAACCCCGTAGTTAACAACCCAACGCCTCACCCACAATAGCACCGGAGGAGCTCCTCAGTTACTGCGGCAGTGGCACAAGTTCATGTCAACTCGAAGATACCTCAAAGTGTAGGGGTGGTATTCAACCTGTCCATCAGGTCACCGCCTGAGGGTGCCTCCTTGTGGGCACAGCCTTCTCATAAGATGGGTTTGGGCCAGTGGTGAGAGTGGCGATACCAGGAGGGTAGAGGATGGTGGTGGGTGGTGGAAAGGGGTAACAGATTACAGGGATCTACAAATGGCCTCCTCCCTGAGGGATGGACAACAGGAAAGTGGGTGAAGAACGACATCGGACAATGTAAGATATGACAAAATAGTAATTTATAAATTATCAAGGATTCATGAGGGAAGGGGGAGCAGGCAGGGTGGGGATAAAAATGAGGAGCTGATGCCAGGGGCTTAAGTGGAGAGCAAATGTTTTGAGAATGATGAGGGCAACGAATGTACAAATGTGCTTTACACAACTGATGTATGTATGGATTGTGATAAGAGTTGTATGAGCCCTCAATAAAATGATTAAAATTTAAAAAATCATTAAAGCCAAAAACAACCTAAAAAACAAAAAAAGACAGGTCCTGGGAGCCTGCCCTTCTCTCTCATCCTTCACCTTCCTGCTGGCTGACCCTGGTTAGTGCCAGAGCCCTGGAGATGCGTTCACCGCCCCTAGATCCACGAGACTTTGCACCCACCAGCCTGTGATCTTCCTGCATTCTGCACCATTGCTTGTGACTGCGTGCGTCTGAAGAGGGACTGATGGACTAGGACCAGACTTATGGACTTGAGTTGGACTGGGCTGGGATGTTTCCTCAATATATTCTTCCGCATATATGAGTGTCACTGGATTTGTTTCTCTGGTCAACCCAGCCTAACACAGTTACTTTACATGCACCAGCTAAAGCTTCTGTTAAATGAGGAGTGTTTGCCAACCCCCTTTCCTGGCAGTCACCTGGAAAGGTGGGACAGGTGGGTTTTCCCAATGCCTCCAGCTAAATGCGATGAAACCTCCTGAACCTATACAGCATAGCCAGAAACTTTGCCAACCGGGCAAGAGACATCAAGAAGCCGAGAGAGAGTCAAGTATATAAATGTGAAGAAATCTGTGTACACCCTGCCGTTAGGCATCCAAAACTAAAGACAAAGAATACCCGGAAAGCCGCCAGAGGAAACGATGTCTTCCGGCGAAGAGCCAGACCGCCGGAGTGAAGGCCAATTTCTCATTAGGAACCGTGGAAGCCAGAGGAAGCGGCAGCACATTTGTCAAGTGCTACAGGAAAAGGACACATCAACCCAGGGTTGCACGGCCCGTGAAATTCCCTCCAGGAATGCGCCCAGGAAGGAAGCCGCGCTCATCTGTGACCGCCAGGCCTACGCTCAGAGAATGGCTAGAGGAAGTCCTCCAAATGGGACGGAAATGACCAAAGAAGAGATCTTAGAACCTCAAGAAGGACTGATTAAAGGACAGAGTAGAACTATGGGCAAGTCCGCTTTCCTTCTCTTGAGTTTTCCAGGTTACGTCCAACCGCTGAAACAGAAAGGGTGGCACTAATATGCTTCCAACGTTGTGTGGGAGAAATATTTGAAGCCATTACATTATTAACAGAGGAGGTGAAGGCATGAACTCAGAACTCTCCCGAACTTTGAGGCAATCCCAACTCATAGGGACCCTATAAGACAGCGCAGAACTGCCCCTGTGGGTTTCCTAGACGTAACGCTTTAGAGGAGTAGAAAGCCTCCTCTTTTTCCTGCCCAGTGGCTAGTGGTTTTGAACCTCTGACCTTGTGGTTAGCAGCGCCCAATACATAACTCACGATGCCACCAGGGCTCCTAAAGGAAGTAAAGGAAGGTAGAATGTCTACTCACAGTAGAGGAGCCCCGGTGGCAGCATCACTAAGAGTCTGACTCGATTCACGGCCAAGGTTTTTTGGTGGTTGGTTCCTAAGGTTTCTACAGGTCTCTTGAGAAGGTCAGATGTGGACGCCAGGGGACTGATCTGATGATGTGCTCTGTAACACCCGCACAACTCAACCTCACGGCCATGGAGTCGAGTTGGACGCACAGCAGCCCTACTGGACAGGATAGAACTAGAACTGGGTCCAACCGTGGGCTTCTGAGACTGCTACTCATCCGAGTGCTGGCCTTGCAGCGTGCAGCCCTTGTTGCAACACTCCACCACCAGGGTTCCCTGTAAGACCCACGTCGCTATTGCTGTCAGGCACCGTCCAGTCAGTTCCGACCCGTACTGACCCTATCTAAGTACAACAGAACCAAACCGTGCACGGTCTGCACCATCCTCACAACTGTTTTTATGCCTGCGCACGTTGTTGCAGCCACTGTGGCGTGTCAATCCATCTCTAGGGGTCTTCCTCCTGTGCGATGCCCCTTGACTTGACCAAGCATGAGGTCCTTCTCCAGGGCCTGGTCCTCCTGACAACATGCCCACAGTATGTGAGAGGAGCCCTTGCCCTCCTTATCTCTCGCGTGCACGCTGGCTGCACTTCTTCCGAGAGAGATGGTTGGTCCTTTAGCAGCCCTATCGATCTTCTTCTCTAGCACCACAATTCAAAGGCCTGGATTCGCTTTGACTGGTAATACAACATTAAAAGACAAGTATTAACAGAGAGGATTAAAAAAAAACAACCCAACCAATATGACTCTACTAAATGCTGTCTTCAAGAAATCCGCTTCAAACATAACGGCATAGGTTTGTTGAAAGTAAAAAGATGGGAAAATATCTATCATGTAAACATCAATCAAAAGGAAGTAGGCGTAGCTATTTGAGTGTCACATCAAAGTAGACTTCAGAGCAAAGAAAATCACCAGAGACAGAACATAATGGTAAAAGTGTCAATCTACCAAGAACACATAGCAACACAGTTTTTAATAGTTTTATTGGCATATATTTTAAAAATAATACAATTTAGTCATTCAGTCATATTAAGATTTGTGCAATCATCAGGAGCCCTGCTGGCACAGTGGTTACAAATTGGCTGAGATCCGCTGGGTCGGTAGTTTGAA